GTAACATAGTAAGAACCGAAATGTGATATTTAAGGACAGTTCACAGACAATGGTCTCAGGAATAGCAAGCTCCTGGGTAACTTGGATGTTTTTTAGATGTAGGGACTTTTTATAGAAGATAGCAACACCACCTCCTCTACGGATTTCACGATCTGATCGGTAAACATGATAGTCTTTTACTGTGGTAATGGAGTCAGGGAGAGATGCATTGAGCCATGTTTCACAGACCAATATAATGTCGAATTTAGCCGTATTTACTAAGAGGAAAAATTCAGGTATTTTATTTGCAAGACTTCTTGCATTGAGTAGCTTGCATTTAAGGACAGTTGTGGTTGGAATAGAGGTAGTTAGGGGTGTGCATATCTAGTTTTGAGTGATGTTGGATTGGATGGGGTGGGGTTGGATGCGGAGTTGTGGGTTGTGTGACTTTCTTTTGATGCAATCAGCTCTGTAGTCAATGTATAGGTCCTTTTCTCATTGTCTAGATGGTTTTTGAGTTCTGCGTGGAGTTCACGGGAGCAGATTCTTTGCAGTATGGATAAGTCTGGTCTTGAGCGAAGGTTTTTGTGGTTGGGATTGGTTTTTGCAATGGTGTTTATTGTATGAATGAATATGCATTTGCTGAACTCATTTTTGCATACAACTCTACAAAATCTTGGGGCCACAGAGCCATCGTTGTATTTGTACCCATGGCCATCTCTGGTTATTTCAATGATATCTTCAGGAGAGATGTTTGTTGTATTAGAGTTGCTTATGATATCATGAACTTTGGTGATGTCATCTGATTCGTTGGTGTCTTCGAGACCAAATAAGATGGCATTTGAACGTTTCTGTTCACATTCCATGGTGTCTCTGATGAGTAAGGACATATTATTTGTGGAGTTATTTGAAGGGATAGTAATTGTTTGTGGCTGTGGTTTGGTGGTTATTTTTGGTTGTAGTTGTGATTGTAGTTGAGGTAGTGGTTGTGGTTGTTGTGGGAATTGATTTTGAGCTGATAGGTACTCACTTATCTGTGCTGTATTTTTTTTTTTCAAGAGAAATTAGGCTTGCTTGTATAGTTGTTTCAAAACGTGTTGCTAAGCATTCTTCTATTGAGTGAATGAGTGATTCTATGCTTTCAACTCTGCCAGGTAGGGTACTCAGTTTGTTTAGCTTAGGAGAACATGATGGAAAAAAGAAAATATCTGAATTTTTAACCATATCAGCTAGGTTTTTGTTTGCGTTTAGGCAGGCAGGGCAGGCTAGATTTTGTGATGGATTGCTTCAATTCATTCCAGGGAAGATGAAAGAGATTGTATAATTGCTGGAGTTCAGAACTTAAATCTTTGATTAAAAGTTTGGTTTTTCCAGCAACCTTATTGGATAAATCAAGGCAGGATATTTCAAGGTGCTTGTTATGAAATCTTTCCTCTTGATTCACATTTTTTTCTTTTTCCCGAGAGAAGGCTATGCTGTTACTCTGCAGTATATTGATAATTTTAGGACGTAAGCATGTTAGACACATTTTATTACAATATATTATCTCCATAAACTATGAATATTTTTAAAGTGACACAGTTAAGGAAAAGTCATAGTAGCCTTCTTAAAAAAGAAGATTAAGGGAGCAATAGGAGAATTCAATGCAACTGTCATCACTGATGTATTCTGTCTTGACTCATCCAATAAAGTTGTTAACAAAGCAAAACTTTTATGAGCGAAAGGGAGAAGGCCATTGAGTCCCTTTAAATGCTTTATCAGCACTGAGTGTGGTAGTGCTTACTAAAGCATTTGACACTTGGTATTTTATGGATAAAAAGGGAAATCATTCACTAGCAATTCCCTTTGTCATAGTGTTCTCCACTGCATTCTACTAACACAGACATTCAAGGACAAAAATAATGTCACCTCCTTCTAAGTGGAAGCAGAAAAAATAAAGAGCTACAGATACTATCTAGATAGGACTACATCCTATACTTCTATTAAAACAATTTAAAGAACTCTAAAACAAAATACTCTGATTAAAAATGATGAAAAGAAAGACAATCTTTATATTTTATTTATCGCAAGTTTGTTATTGTATACAAAAAAATCATTTGGGGCAATCATATATGAGGAAAATGTTTTAGTTTCCCAGTGCATGCCAAAAATATCCATAATCAGTTGAGCTAAGACAAGGCAAGAAAAATGCAAAACAGTTTGTTATGTTATGTGAAAGGTAATAGAAAGCTTTAAACTTAAGAGGATGTGAAAACAAATTAACTATTTGAAGGGGTTTTAATCTTAGTGTGGAATAAAGGCTCTCTACAAGCTGTCACACATTGAATATTTGGTAAAGTTCAATCAAATTTAATCCAGCTAAGGAATAGTACAATGTATTCTTTATTATGAAAACTTTAGGGGAAAAGTTTTAGAAATCCTTGAAGCAACTCAGTTATTTAAAAAAAAACAACCTGATGATATGATTACTCGCACTGAAATATTTCTAATCATAAAAATACACACCGATGATGCTATCCATTTTATGATGTAAAACACAAAAAAGTAGTAGTAATCACAAGAAATTGAAGGCCAACTTTGAAGGCCAGTTCATACACTGACTTTTGTTCTTTAATCTTCCTGCCTTCTTTGAATGTCTCATCATTTTTATCCAATTACAATATTCTCAATTTTTGACTTCCTCACAACATATCCTTCACTTTTAACTGATTTTGTTTCTTCATGCTCAGTTCTAGTCACTCCTTAACTACAGTATTTTTCTTAACAGTGTAAGAAAGAAATGTTTTATTAGTCATATATTACTCTTACTACACTCACATTTATAGTGGGCAAAAAAATCCCATAACCAAACCCTATTCCCTATAACATGGATATCTGAAGGGCCACTTGTCTCCATGAATTTCTGCCCACCCACTATGTTCCAGCAGAAAAGGTGTGTCCATCTCCCCATTAAATATTGTCATCTTGTGGGACCAAGGAAATGTGCTTCTCTATTGCAGCTCCCACCCTCTGGAAAAGTGGGGTCTTTCTTAGAATTCCAGAAAGTTTTGAAAACCTGGCTTTAGCCTCAAGCCTGCAGTTGATGTTTGTTTTATCTACAGCCCTTGTTTTGTTTTGTTGATTTTGTTATTTTAATCTGAGTTATCAGTCTGATTTAATGTTTTAACTTTTTATGTTTTTTCTACTTTTGTATGCTTCCCAGAGTCATTTGGAATGTGATGGCTAATAAATTGAATTAATTTTAAAAAATGGAAGCAGAGCTTTCCTTCAAGTCAAATAAAAGAAAAGGATGGCTGATTACATAAAAGACAGCAAAGAACAAGCTCTGATGCAAGTTTAACTTGGAACTTATTGAATGTCCAGGAAACAAAACATGAATATTGAAATAATATAATAAAAACAAGAACAGAATTCCGGCAAGAAAAAACATTACAGGGTCAATTTCTATACAAGATTGAGAGGAAAGTGGATAAAGATAAAACCTGGCAATAGCTCACAACTGGAACTTTACAAAAACTGAAAGCTTGATTTGGGCTGCTCAATAGCAAGCTATGTAATCTCAGGCACTCAAGATTTTAAAATTATTGATTTTTAATGATTCCAGATAGAGATTGTGCGAAAAGGCAGAGCAAACAGTAAATCTTACACTCAGCTTGTTCAAGATTCCACAAATTGACTATAAACAATGACATAATACAGCTGCCTGTTCGCTAGAACAGGGCTGTCAAACTCATGGCCTGCGGCCTGGATGCATCACGTGCTGGCCACACCCATGCCTTGTTTAGTGAAGGAGAAAAAAAATCGTATGTCATGTGACAACACCAGCTTGACACCTCTGCACTAGAACATCTGTAGAAATTAACATGCCCAGTAATGAAAAATATGTAGGAATATAGAATTAAAAAAATAGTAAAAAATGAACAGGATTTCTGCATACAAATTGATAGAGCCTTGCCCCATAAAACACCAAATTTAACTGTGTGAAAAAGAAAGTGTGAATAATTGATGTGGCAACATCTGGAGATAGTAGAATAGAAGACAAAGAATTGGAAAAGATTCAAAATAAATAAAGTATAAGGATCTAAAAATTAAAATTGAAAGTTGATGACATAAACTGACTAAAATTGTCCCTATTATTGGCATGGAGTGCCAATAATAAAATCTTAGGTGGCATTTAGAAAATACACACATTGACAAAATGTCCATATGTCATTATGAAAGGCCACACATTATTCTATAATATTTCCCTGTAATAAAATTATTACAATCTATTAGATTCCATTGCATTACATTTTGAAGAATGTGACAAAAATTTAAGAAGTTCCTTTTTCTGTTAGGGGACAGGAGAATACTTACTTTCATGCCTTTTTTTTTTTTCAAATAAATGTACATTTGTAAAAGAGTTGTCAGATATGATAGAGATTTAATGTACATTGTGCTCTCAAATAACATGACAGACTTTCACAGTACCAGATATTTGATCTAGGTCAGTAGGTAGGTAGGTAGGTAGATATAGGCAGGTAGGTAGAGATAGATAGATAGATAGATAGATAGATAGATAGATAGATAGATAGATAGATAGATAGATAGATAGATAGATAGATATGCACTCCACAAACACATCCAGATAGACACATAAACATACACACATACTGAAAACTACAGGGACATACCCATTAGTCACCATGAGCAATGACTGGCTTGAAGTAGATTTTACTTTTTTTATTATATTTTTCTATAATAGCTCCAGTCAAATTTTTCCTAATCTATTGAGGTTAGACTTCCCAGAACTCGTAGGAAGCATAACCAATCGAAAACTATCAAAATGCATGCTCTAGAAACAGTGGAAGCTGAAGTCTCACCATGTTGAAGTATATTAACCTAGAGAATGATCGCAATATATGCTGCTGCAGATGTATGTGTGTTATATGCTTGAATTACAACTCCCTGAAGTTGATCAAGAGTATGAAAGGAAACTAACTTTTTAGGAGATTTTACATAATAAACCTTAATAATCTTACCAAATTCCAGCCTGGATAGAGATAGTCAGTTCCAACAAATTCAAAATAGTGAGCAAAGCCTTCTTTTAGCCACACATCTTCCCACCATACTGGAGTTACAAGATCACCAAACCACTGAAAAATAAATTCAGCTTGATTAAATTGTTTTTGTTTATAGTATTCATTTCTGTACATTCTATTTCTATAATCAAGTGGAATGAATTCTTTGCAACAATACTGAAAAAGTGATTGTACAAATTATGAATGTTTATTTTTGCTTATCTTACCTCATAAATGTTATAAAAAATTCAACACAAGCTGTCCCCATAAAAGGTTATCAGGATAACTGCATCCTATACAACTTTTAATTTATTTCCTTTACAACAGTGATAGGCATTTATGAGGGATTGGAATCATATATGACCTTTATGAAGAACCATAGGAGGCCATATGATAATACAGTGATGATAACAGAATAGCCACACCTGAAATGATCTAGTTCATTTTTGGGGAGGTTTGGGGGACAGCTAAGAGTAAGAATGGGAGCCAGAGGTGTCTGTGAGATACATACAGGGGTGGGATTCAAATGTCTTAACAACCGGTTCTGTGGGCGTGACCTAATGTTGTGGGTGTGGCTTGGTGGTCATGTGACTGGGGTGGGCGTGGCCATGTGGTCATGTGATCACAAACCGAATGTAAGTGGTCCTCGCTTAATCACCAGGTCCTCGCTTAATGGCCAATTGCTTAGCAAGTGTTCTAATTTACGACTGACCTCCACAGAGCTACTTGGCCTGTTTTTGGTGTTTTGTCAGCCACACACACACACACACACAAACACACACACACACACACACACACACACACACACACTTGTGCCCAGTTACAACATCCCACACAGTCTTGTGACTGAGGTTTTCTGTTTTTTGCCAGTTTCCAACAATTCCTTCTGGTTTCTGGTTAAAAATGCCCCTTGGGGGAAATGGTCTTTTTAACAACCAGTGTTTGCTTAATGACCACAAGGTTCACTTAACGACCATGGTGTTTGCCTAACCCAGGGGTCTGCAACCTTAAACACTCAAAGAGCCATTTTTCTATTTCCTTTTAAACAGGCATCTCTGTCTCTGTCTTTCTTTCTTTCTCCCTCTTTCTCATCTCTCTCTCTGTCATCTCTTTCTCTTTCTCCCTCTCTATTTCTCATTTCTCTTTCTCTCTCTCATCTACAACTGCTAAGATTGGAAGCTGTTTTTTTATAATCCTATTTCTTGCAGTTTTTTTCACACACATTTGTGTATATGTATCCAATATTCTTTCTTCCTTTCCACTATGTATTCAAAATGGGCAATGATTTTGTGTGTGTGTGTAGCATGTGTATATGTCATGTGAAGGGATACTTTGCCTGGCCCCTCCCCTCCCAGCCATTTCTTGTCACACCCAGCCTCAACTTATCTATAGTTCTATAAAAATGTTGTTCACCTTTTTTTGACTTTATTATCTACGTACTATAGATGTACTTTCATGGACCACTGAAAGGAGGAAATGGCTCACATGCTTTGCCCAAGAGGGTGATAGGCAAGATGCTTTCAAGGGGCTACCAGAAAGAAGGGGGGGCAATGTGTTTTCCAAAGCACCAGAAGATAAACAAGAAGCAATGACTAAGACTAAGGAGAAACTTCCTGACGGTGAGAACAATTAACCAGCTTGCCACCAGAAATTCTGGGTGCTCCAACACTGGAGAATTTTAACAAGAGACTGGACAGCCATTTCTCTGAAATGGTATAGGGTTCCCCCCAAGGTCCCTTCTAAGTGTTATTCTGACATCTTTCCCAGGACCTCTATTCAGATTTTGGCATCCTCAGAGTTTTCCTGCCTGAGCAGGGGCTTGGACTAGAAGACCTCCCTTTCAGCTCTGTTAAACACACCTGTATTTATGCTCTGGACTATAGATATGTAAACCCTGAAAAATACCCGGGTAAAAGAAAGGCAGTAGAATCACTCTAGGTGTAAGGACAGTGTAAAATATTAATATATGATAAATAATGGAACAATTAAAAATAATAGCACAAAGTTTTCTCTCCCCCCTTTCCTTCCTATTTCTTTTCTTTTCTTT